TTACCTACTTTATCTTGTGAGTATGACAAATATGTATTTTTTAAGGTACATTATAATCGTATAGAAGATAGATCTTTAAATTAATAGCATTAAGATTTATTTTCTAATGTATTCGTTCTTTCGCCAAAGATACACTTGCGTTGCGTGAATACAACGCTACAATGATAACGCATCAAGAATCGCTCTCTTTATTTTTAGCCCGTCTCTTTGGCTCGGCTAGACCGAAACGTATCTGTACTATTCTATATTAGCTGATCCGGCAAACGTAATTTTATTGTTAGTGAAAGATAGAACAAAAAAAAAAAAAAAAAAAAAAAAAAAAAAAAAAAAAAAAAAAAAACAAAAAAAAAAAAAGGGAGGGGCCGCCCCCCCCCCCCAAAAAAAAACCCCCGGGGGGGGGGGGGGGGGGGGGGGGGAAAATTTTTCCCGGGGGGGGGGGGCCCCCCCCCCCCCCTTTTCCCCCCCCGGGGGGGGGCCACCCCCCCCCCCCCCCCCCGGGGGGGGAAAAAACCCTTTTCAAAACGGGGGGAACAAATTTTCGGGGTTTAAACCCGTAAAGGGGTTTTTTTTAAAAGATAGAACTATTACAAATAATTCGTAAGAAGCCATTAATTTCCATCAAATTTTTATGACAGAGGTGGACTGACAACCAGGGGGTTTACTTATCAGGTGGAATATCATCATCGTATAACATCTAAACATGATGCGCCGTCGACCTACTTTCGGCAATCCACAGACTGAAATCGAAACGCGAATTAACTTGCCGCCTTTTATCTGTGGACGGTGGTTCGTGGTCGACTACTTTTTTATGATCCATTTGTTATCCAGACAAAGACAGATTGCACTCAATGGGGAACGAACCCACGACCTGTTGATTATTACAATATTGCTTTTTAAATAAAACACTTTAACGGTTTAAAACGCGATATAATAGTTAAACTTATTTGAAAATGATTTTTAACTTCGGCCCGACGTTTCGGATGCTTTGCAGCAGCCGTGATCACGGGGAGACATTCAGATAAGAGATCATTTTCAAATAAGTTTAACTAATATATCGCGTTTTAAACCGTTAAAGTGTTTTATTTAAATGTGTACTACTCGCGTAAACTATAGACAGTATCAATATATATAATATGTGCTACTATTACACTAACGAGTCCGAGTTACTCTTAAAGCTAGACATAATCTGTCTCGGACATTTGTTTGATGGCATGCTTTCATAAATTTTTTTTAAACAATCTATTGTCTCTCGAACGTCACGCTTAACGCAATTCTATAAAACACAGAATTATAATTCTTTATCCTAAAACGATAGGAATTAAAAGTACAGTCAGTACGCATACAAAAAAATTCTCAAAGTTGATTAATTTTACCAGGGTCTTTCCTCAACATACAAAAAAATAATTCAAAGCCCATTTTAATATTATTTAGAAAACATCGGCATATTGTATGTACTCAAATTATAAAATAAATAAAAAAACAATTTCTTTTGATGTATTGACGCAATTTGAGGCTAACCTCCGCGTTAAAAACCGTTTGAAATGTTTCGTTTACTCGCGCACACTACTTGCAGTGGTGGTTAATTTTATATTCTTGAAATGAGGAATACTATCAAGTTCCACTTATGTCATTATGTATTTATAAATAGGTACTTATAGGTATTATGTAAAACCGTTGTTGGTTGTACTTACTTTTTAGAAAAAAATGAACATGAGATACTAACACAGGGTAGAATTTAAATTATTAGAGATTGGAAAGCTGACGATGTCGATTCAAGTCCTGCCCGAGGCATAAATAATTCGCATATTTTAGTAATAAGTTTCTCATGTTGGTTTAAGTTTAATAGAAAATAATTAAAACAACCTTGCTTGCCTCTGAACACACTGCCACAAAATATCAGTGTTGGGACATCAATCCCAACGTAGCTTAGTGGCTTCCTTTTCAGAGGCAACTATATTGTAGTATTAATTTTAATTCTTCATATACTTTATGATATTATTTTAATTAGATTTAATTTGTATCGGATTAAGTTTTAATTGTAAATGTTGTTTCTGAATAAACATATTCTATTCTATTCTATGTAAGTGATTTCTGTAATCCAAATGCGAAATCAATGTCTTCAAACCAAACTTATAGTTTTATTGTTAATTTATTTTAACTACGGCCCGACGACGGCTTTGCAAGGATCATAAATAAGTTAGCTAGTATCAACTGATCGTGGCTTCGATGCCCACCGGGTCCAACGTTTTTAACCAATTTATAATTTTTCTAAAACACGTTGGACTTCGTCTGGACATCGGAATATTAAATAGGTGGTTGAAATATCGAAATTCCGTCCGGGTCACGCACCACCGTCCACAGGTGTTTAATCGCGTTTCAGTCTCTTGATTTCCGAACATCCAAAGCCACGATAGATCGACAGCGTATCCCGGTAAATGTTATACAGCTCGGGTATTACACCTACCATGAAATGAACCCTATGCTATAAAACAAACTCAGCAGAGTACAATAACAGTGTCACAATATTTTGGTTACTGACGCGACCAATTAGAAAACCGCCAACGAAACGTTTGCGAAAATTTAGTCAAGTTGGGCACGGCACCGTTCGTCACGCGACTGCGACAAACGTTACTCCTAGTTACCATCCTACTTATAACGGGCCATTAAAATTTAAATTAACTAGAAATTTTCATAAAAATTTACAATCTACACTTAATATATAAGGCAGAAGAGTTTGTTTGTTTGAACGCGCTAATATCGGCCTACGGGTCTAACTACGGGTCTGAATTGAAAAAGTATTTTTGTCTGAATACTGTCTATAGTTTACGCGAGTAGTACACATTTAAATAAAACACTTTAACAGTTTAAACGCGATATATTAGTTAAACTTATTTGAAAATCACCACGGCTGCTGCAAAGCATCCGAAACGTCGGGCCGAAATTAAAAATCATTTTCAAATAAATTTAACTAATATATCGCGTTTTAAACCGTTAAAGTGTTTTATTTAAATATTTTTGTCTAGTTAGAGCATTTATCGAGGAAGGTTATACTATAAAACGTAGCCCTGTGACTAACACAAGCGAAGATACAGGGAGACATGCGAAAAACAATTGGCAAATTATTTATTATTATGGATTTCCGAGGCGTACGCTACAAAAACGGTTTAAGATACCCAAAAATGTGTATGAAAGAATGATTCCCCTTTAAATGTTCTACAATTAAACCCGCGACGCTATATGTCTATCTTTTAAGATTAACTTGTAAGAAGGACGGGAAGGACACGACCGATGTTACCGTGGGTGTAACAGCTTAAGTTTATAAAGATTTGCAAAAACGAATTTGGCCCAAAATAACGATTCTCGCGGACGAAGTCGCTGACACAGCTAGTAGTGAATAAAAGAGGCGCTAAATTGACGTTGATATGTGTTAATATGATTTCTGGACACGCAATAGAGTTTTTATATGACTTAGTTTTGTAAGCTTTATAGCTAACCGGGCGTCTGGGTGGGTCTTGTTTCAGATTAGACTAACGGTGCCCCGTGGAGGCCATTGGCTTCGGTTTGGACCATAGATAGCAGCTTAAAGAGCTGGACTAGCGCTTACCCGCTTACTTACTGTAATCGAACTTATTTTGTCAAGAAAATCGAAAGAAGAAAGAAGTTTACGCTAGCACACATTTAATTAAAACCACTTTTAACGGTTTAAAACATGTCCTAACATTTATTTCAAACACATATCAGTATAAAAATAATATTAAGTATTAGGTTAGTAACTGCATATATTATGCTTAAATAAAAACAAACAAAAAAGGGGAAGAAAAAAATATATTAAATATTCTATTATACTAGTTGACATTGAAAGCGGGATAATTTCAATCAATTAACTTATATACTTTCGTTACGTTCCGTTCCGTTATACGGTTTAAACCGTTAAAAATGTGATATTTAAACAGCAATTGCTGCATATAAAAATACGCTATGTATAATAAATAATTTAAAACGTTGCGTTTATATAAAAAAATCAGCTCGCAGTTAAGATTAATGGATATATTTCGTGTTTAATTTGGAAGTGTTTAATTTATTTAAAAAAGGGTTTCACCAGATTACAAAACTTTTCACAAGGACTTGCATTGGAAAACTGAAATCATAAAATGTGAGTCACAAAATCGACGCCCCGGGAGGGACTCGAACTCATGTCCATAGAGTTCCGTGCTGCTATTCTACTCAATTGATAGAGATATATAAAACTATTATGTGCGATGTTTTAAGCCATTATTAGGAATATTTTAATTTTAGAATTTCTTAAGTACCAACAATGCACAAACAGACAGAAAATTCTCACGCAATACTTAAGTACAAGGAAAAGAAACGGCTGCAGTAAAGAAACGTCGGGTCTTACCAACTACGTAAAAGTAATAAAACAGTTTAATATTTTAACACTTTAAGAAACGTTTAGTTAGACAGGCCTTGAACTGGCACCCACAGCATTCCGTGCTGTTGCTCTAACCAATAGAGCGATCGTATCCTCGTCGAAACGAAATCGTCGATTTTTTTTCAATTTACTGATATGTCCTCTCTTAATTTATATAATGTGCAATAACATGTGAAAAATATTAATTTAAAAAAAAGGGGGGGGGAGAAAAAAAAAAAAAAAAAAAAAAATAAAAATAAAATCCCCAAACCCAACCCCCCCCCCCCCAAAAAAAAAACCCCCCCCCCCCAAAAAAAAAAAAAAAAAAAAAAAAAAGACGGGGGGGGGGGGGAAAAAAAAAAAAAAAAAAAAAAAAGAGGGGGGGGGGGGGGGGCCCCCCCCCCCCCAAGGGGAAGAAAAAAAAAAAGAAAAGCCGCGCCGGCCGCCCCCCCCCCCCCCCCCGGGAAAAAAAAAAAAAAAAAATTTTTTTATTTAAAAAAAAAAAGGGCCCCCCTTGGGCAAAAAAAGGGGAAAAATTTTATTTTAATTTTTCAATATTTCACGTTTAAAGCTGTTGAAATTTATCAACTCAAACTTCAATAATTCGTGTATGCGGGTCAAAGCCAAAACCAGTCACTGCGCGTATTGCGCGCGATAAAACGCGTAGCGAATCCGCAGGGTGCGAACGGAAACGAAGGTTGCGCCCGTGACCGAGCCCGCCCGCCCGCTCCGACGCCAGTCTCGGATCGCGCTCGCTGCCTCTCGGACCTCGAGCAGCCGATCTTAAAAGACCCCCATCCACCAAGACCCTCAGTGATGTGCCTGTGATCATGGGAGCGTGTGTTGTGTTGTGCGCGAGCGGCTGGACCCCGACATGTGGGCGCTGCTGATGACCCTGGCGGGGCTCGTCGCGAACGGCGGCGGCGCCTCCTTCAGCCCCAACAGGGAACTCCTAGAGTGTGCGAGGTACGCCCGTTCCCCATCTGGACCCCGTGCGAGCTACGAAAATAACGTCGCACAAAACGAGTGTAAACTAGTTGAGTCCAACGTTTGGATTTATTTGGCACTGTCGCTTTCGCGTGGAATGTGACATAAATTGCTCGTGTTTTGTTTTGCTCAAATCGCGTTTCGGTGACAGTCGGAGATGGGTTCGTTATAGCCCTATAAAACGACAGGCTCGATGGAGTAATGGTGGCAATGTCTTGCTAATAACGGGTCATGGGTTAGATCCCCGACGTATCCAATGTGTTTATAATTACTTTATAATTTTTCTGAATACATATTGGGCTTTGTCCGGAGTTGGATGTTAAATCGGTGGTAGGAATTCCGAAATTCCAAGTCACAAACTACCTTCCACAGATGGAAAAGCCTTCACGTAATCTCGTTTCAGACTGTAGATATCCGAAAATCCAAAGCCAAACTTCTTTAGATGTGATGCAGCTGGGGTATTTGACCTACAATCAAGTGCATCCTCTCTCTCGTAGAGTACTCTATCATAGAGTTATCAGATCAGAGATTTCAAGTAAATCTCTACTCGGGAATCGGGCAACTGTTGTAGAGTCATTTTGAAGAATTTTAACCACTTTTCAGTTGGCCGAGTGGCAAGGCTACTGTTGACATAAACTTGCCAACGAATGATATTAGCCAGGTGTTGTCTCATCCGCGACAGATTTACTCACCGTCGCATTAAAGATAATTGGAAATTACGCCTTTCGCTAAGATGCGGCTGACCTATAAAACGCACGGTAAACAAACATCAAGCGGTCGATTAGTAGTGACAATATTAATTTATTTTTTATAAAAAGACCCCTTTTAACTCTCATAAAAGATAACTACATCCCTAAAATCGTAACTAATATAGTTAAAATTGGGTTTTTTATTTTACCATTACGCACAATTAATATATAAGAATACACAAAAATATCTAAAACAAACAGATATATCGTTTTTGTTTGGTTGGCATGGCCTATATCATCTAAACAAGATTCGCTCTCGACCTATTTTGGCTTTGGATATTCGGAAATCCACAGACTGTTACTGACACGTGTTTAAACTTCCCGCCTTTTTTATCTATGGACGACGGTCCGTGACGTTCGTGATATACAGATTTCCAGAAGACCAACATGTTTCAGAAAAATTACAACACTTATAAACAACATACAATCAAACTTTTACACTTATAATAATTTATATTGAACAAACATAAGTTTATTTGTCTGTAACCTCTAATGTGTAACAATCGTTTAAAACAGTAGTATTCAAAACTTCACAATATGGCAGTAATATTTACTTTAAATACGGATTGAAATTATTTCTGGCAACGTATTTTCTGGGTTACTACAATGATCGCGTCAGTCTGACGCACGAGGAACATGAAGCATCATCGGGACTGTTTTGTGATGAATTGATGACACACCAAACTACATACATGTGTCTTAACTATGTACTCAATGGGGGAAAGACAGGAATATCCATGGCAGAAGACCATCAATTTTTAATGATACTTGTATCAAATATTTTTCAATTTAATTTTTTTTATAGTATGTATGACCATTTACTGATACATACTTATAGTTGTGTAAAAACAAGGCCTAATAACTACTTGCATGTATCTATACCCGCGAACGTTATATCTTCTTAAGTGACACGCTTTTAACGGTTTAAAATGCGACATATATTGTGAACTTATTTTAAAATACGTTGTAAGTGTTTAATTTGATTAATTATTTATTTAAATACTGTCTATAGTTTACGCGAGTAGTACACATTTAAATAAAACACTTTAACGGTTTTAAACGTTTAATATATTAGTAAGTGACCACGGCTGCTGCGAAGCATCCGAAACGTCGGGCCGAAGTTAAAAATCATTTTCAAATAAGTTTAACTAATATATCGCGTTTTGAACCGTTAAAGTGTTTTATTTATATAATTATTTATTTATTTATATACCACGACATTCGGTCGGATCGTCTAATGATAAAAGGGTAGCGGGTTCGATCCCCACCGGATCTTGCTACCGAAAGACACGTTGAACTTTTTCTAACAGATCTTAAATAAATATTAAATGGGTGGTGGAAGTTTGATCTGCGTTTTGATGACAGTCTATTTGTTCCCATGTATCCAAATCCAAAAGGATGCAAAGCATCTTCTTTAATTGTTATACGGTTGGGACATCCTTCCATCAATCAGCCTATGCTTCTCTGTCACAAACAAGACGTTCTCGCGCCACCCAGACTTCAAACCTTGACAGTCATGCCAACCACTACACCAACGAGGCAAGTCGTTTACACTAATCAAATCTCCCGCAAGGCCGATCGATAAATCCGACTGATAACAATGGCGTTGACATGCCAAAATTAGATGCATCAGACGAAAGTGCGTCATTAATAACCCAAATAGATTGAGCTATTTGGTAACTGTGACAACAGAAATAAACCCTCGCCCCGAATACCCACTGCAAGTGCGTCTGTCGTATTGAGAATAGATACGCACGGCCCGCTGACATAGATTATCTGGCTTATTGTTCCACTGACTACCGAATGGTCATCGTTTCCAATGGTACCGGGTCCTATAGCAGCTAGCTATACATGTCTAACATTAAATATACCTAATGATAGACATGTATACTCTCTAGTCTGTAATATAAGGCTAGAAGCACAGTAGCCTAACTGCAATTTTATGTCTTGACTTATTGATATTTTTATAGTCTAAAAACGTTAGTCTACAAGAGTAAAGTGACCTAAAATTGTTAACATAATTCTTACTCAAATAATAGTACAAATTCATTTTCGCCCAAGTTAATTGCGCATTTTTCCTCCTTATTGAAAATTATGTTTTTTGTTATTAGGCCACCCTGCCTCTAGCAGCCTCATATATACATGTCTATCATTAGGATGTATGTATATCTGTGCCAAGATCTTCCCTAATTTCCCTTTCGCCTTGTCTGCAATGGGCAATAGTGGGAGCTTTGGAGTTATATAAACGTGTTCCCGGGGTTCCCTCAAAAGCACTGTTGAGGGCTGGTGCTATGTTGAGTGTTTCTGATCGACTCACGACGACGATTTTTTTCAATTCGAACCAGTGATTCCCGAGATTATCGCATTCAAATAAATAAACAGACAACTGTTTTACCAATTGAGCTACCGAGTCCTACACCTTTATAATATTAGTATGTATAAAAAAAAATCCGTTTATCTATATAAAGACTTGTACTACAAAAATTTGGGCGCAATCACCCTCCTATTTACGCCAATAACTGCTATTTTTATTAATTTATTACTTATTAATATTTCCCGCTTAAGAAACTGTTATATAATATCAAATGGTTGTATGAGCGCTGTCTAACAGACGAACAGTAGGATTTTGCTGCAAACCAGTATTGTGGCATAGCCGTGCTGCTACTTATGCTGACGCAGGACCCTTTTGGCATCATTTTGATTAAAATGTAACTTAATCTTGTCGTAGTATTATTATGTTACTTTTATTATTTCTTTTTAATCTTTATTGTAATTAGTAATTACATTTATTTCTACTTCTACTACTACTTGTACAAAATGAATGCCAAATAAAGAGATGTATTAAATACTAAATAATGTCTATAGTTTACGCGAGTAGTACAAATTTAAATAAAACACTTTAACGGTTTAAAACGCGTTACTAGTTAAACTTATTTGAAAATGATTTTTAACTTCGGCCCGACGTGGTTGTTGTTGAACTACGGCTGTTGATGAAGTTTAACTAATATATCGCGTTTTAAACCGTTAAAGTGTTTTATTTAAACAATTTTACTTTGTCCTACAATGCATTTGACTGAGCTTGTGCTCATTAGTACTGGTATATTGGGGGCATCCGAAACGTCGGGTTGTTGTTGTTAAAATAACTTAACTAATATCATTCACGTTTTATACCGATAATAGTGACTTATTTAAATGTGTAGGTACTACTCGCCTAAAGTAGATACAGAATTTAATCTTAAATACACTCTGTAGTTGGATTTGGATTTGTATATTCTTGCAGTTAGCTCGTCTCTACTGCGTCATCTTTCCCTAACAATTCACTTTTGATTAATGCCGACTATTGTCGATTAATTAGCTCGAAAATTGGCGAAGGATTACAATGTATAGATACGCAATAGGCGCGACATGCGCTGGAGTTTTGCCAGATCAAGCGGAGTGGCTCGTACCAATGACACGGTGTATAATCGAACCCATCCGCGGTTAATTTATCAAACGTTTACAATAATACCAGAAACATGCGTACCAAAGGGGGGAAGAAGGTCAGCTCGCCTCCTTCCTGGAAATGCAAGAAGCAATGAATGTCCTTAACTGAAATAGCGGACTCGTTGGTCTAATGGTGTAAGAATGGGTTCGATCTCCACCAGGTCCAATTTTATAATTTTATTGAAACATGTCTAAATCTGTTTATTACTCACATACTACCACAGATGAAAAAAGCCGCGAAGTTTAATGGCGTTTCAGTTTCAGTCTATAGTTATTTATTTTACGAATATCCAAAGCCAAAATAGGTCAACAGCGCAATTAAGATATAATATAGCTGAAGTACTTCACTTTTATAATAGGTATAAGGCCTAAAAATATATTTTTACAAATACACGACTAATTTAAAAATCGAAAATAAATTGAAAAAAATTTCGACTCGGGCACGACTTGAACCGGCATCGTCAGCGTTCCGTGCTGTTGCTCTACCAATTGATCTACCGAGTCCAACGAGTGGTAGAGCACAGGCGGAACGCTGCCGATTCAAGTCATGCCCGAGTCGAAAATTTTTTCCATTTATTTTTACCATTTTTAAATTATATAGTGCCTTCATGTGCAATAACATTGAAAAATTAACAAAGTTTTCAAATACACGGCTACTTAAAAACTTTGTATAATCAATGTATAGAAACAGCCTTGTAAAGAGGCTTTACTGCTATTTGTTACATATATATTTGGTTTAAAACTTTG